GCAGTTATACATTAATGAAGCAAAGCTATAAATACTACATTTCATTGTGCTACTACAGTAGCCTATAGGTCCGATAAATTAATGCATTATTAGCATTATTTCCCATATGATCATAACTTAGATGGTGATAAGTTAAAGAAAAAAAAGCAACACTCAGTGACTTGAGTAAGGTGTTGTGTCACCATGTACAACCAGAACAACGTCAGTGCACTGTAATATTGATTCTCCACGTCTGTGGATCTGTACTGGATTAAGAAGAACATCATTCTTCTAAATTATTCCCTCTTTTGGTGTTTGGAATATGGTGATGGAGAGTGCTAATGTGTTCAACAAGTTTGATATTATGCTGTATTTTAAGTGACCCCAATTTATCTGCAGTAACCCAACAAAACAACCCCCCGCCCTTAAGAGAGTAGTCAGGTCCAAGTATACTTACTGATATCGATAATATGCATATATGGAAGAGCTTGTCATCTGCTGTCGGGTCACATGGTAAAATAACTCTGCGACAAAAAGAAAATAAGGAATAAAACCATCATTTAAAAATGTGCAAAGTAAGCCTAAAACAAATCAAACCACCACATCTCAGCACTTTTCTGACCTTGTTGATGTACCAGGACCCAACCTGTGAAAATAATCAATGCTTATGGCCCCATTTGACACCTTTGACTCAACTTTTTTATACTCACTCTTTGGGTGGTTTTGTAGGCTCTGCGTTGTTTGAGTACCAGTCTGAATAGTCATAATAGGAATATTGAAAAGGCTCAACTCCCTCTTTGCTCTGATTCATTGCAGCTGTTTAATCAAGTCATACAGGTGAAGCAGGACAAATAAGGATCCAGAGGACTCCTCCTGGTCCAGCTCTTGTCAGCAGTCTGTTGGTGCTGCTGCAACGTGTCAGGACAGCTTGGCCCAAGAACCCCAACACATTCCAGTCCAGCTAATAACTAAACGCAGCAGATTAAGGGCTGCACAGAAGGGAGGGAGAGTGGAGCAAGGTTTAACATTCACGTGAAATGAAGCAAGTGGAGTAACAAATGTTTTAAACCTTGCAACATAATCATTTAAAAGTGATTCATAGAATAATATTTGGTCAAAGACAATGTAGCATCACGTTTAGGGATTTAATTAACAGTCAAGTTAACAAAAAAAATGCATTGTTGAGTTTGGTGGTGCAGATATTTAAATGGTTCGTAAGTAATAAGTCTGAGTCCAGTAAATTCTTCACATTTGGCCAGTACCATTTCTACAGTGAAACATGCTAAAGTTGTATTATCCAATGGGAGTGTTAATCAATAACAAGACTACAGTCAAGAGCCATGTATTAGGCACAATCGCTCTTCAACACAAATATGAATTCAGCCAGTCACATGGGAGAAACATCAAACTGAGCATCAAATTAGGTTGTCGTTTGGTTGTTGCCAGACAGACTGGTCCAGCTATTGCTGCTCATCAATGAGACATCTCATGATCTTCACCTACGACTCTATGGGTTTGTCATTCAGATTAGGTAATGTTATTTTTGCACAGCAAATGGCACAACCTGTTTGCCTCCCTCCGCTTGTTACTTAACAGACTAATCTTTTAAGATGAAAATCTCACTGAAACAGAGGCAACCTTTGTGTGAACGAGTGACAGAAAGGTGAAAATGAGAATGGGACACGTTACGTAAGGACCTCAACTTAAAGTTTTATGAAATAAAAATGAGACAGAAAGAAACCATGTGACGAGCATCCAGTGCCGCTGCAGAGGACGAACACTAACAACAGACCTTCACCTTCTCCAAACTGCAGCTGAAGCAGGACTTTATGATGATTTCCAGTGCTCATGCTGTGTATCTTAAAAGAAAATTTAATAGCACCATTTGAGTCAAAGCATATTTTGCTGGGAAATCTGGTGCCTGTGGGAGCTGAAAGTGTTTTAATCTGGACTGGTGAGTTTCTGTCATAAGGCTGCAGAGGGCCAGCTGATCTGATCCAAAGACTGGGACTGTAAGGGCCTGGCACTGGATCCAGATGGCTCAAATGCTGCTATTTCAACATAGAAAAATCACCACAGATGTGCTGGATGCTGTTCTTAACTTCTTAAACCCCAGACTTCAAGCTCAGTTTCAGCTTAGAATGAAAAATATTTGTGTTAAAATAAGAGTTTTCAGTTGCTTGCCTTTGTAAGCAACTGAAAACTCTTTCAATTCAGCTTGCAAGCATAAAAAAACAAGTTTGATGTCTCAATGAAATGCAGCAGGGGTCCACTTCCTTTCCTCTGCTGTGTCTCTTTGATAGTGGCAGTGTGTTTGAATCAAAAGGTAAAGAAATACTGACTGACGTTTCTTATCAAGCTGACATTTGGCTGAGGTACACCAACGCTCATTTAAACCACATAGAACTCATCATTTCAAACCTCATTTCAAGGTGGAATTTACTTCATTTTAATAATACTGTTATAAGGTCACTGTGTAGATGGAAATGTGAAGACACGTGGTACAGAGTGTAAAGATCCTACTAAATCTTGATGTAGTCAGGTGTCTGACTACAGTCTGGTCAAAATAATTTTTTTGTTTGTTTACCTTTTAAATATTGGATGTTAAAAGGGAGTTTTTCCTTCCCACTGTCGCCAAAGTGCTTGCTCATAGGGGGTCATATGATTGTTGGGTTTTTCTCTGTATCTATGAACCGCCTTGAGGCGACTTTTGTTGTGATTTGGCGCTATATAAATAAAATTGAATTGAATTGACAATCAGAGGCATAGAAATACATGGGAGCATACATATACTTATATATTCAAATGTGTATTTGTATTTTGAATTTAATGCTTTTCACAAAAAAGACAAAATACATTAAGCAGAAATAACATAATAGTGAGCAGTTACAGCATGATAACTGATGATAAGTTGTAACTGTTACTTTCTGTGACCCGTGTTTCAGTCATGTGTCCATGTTTGTTTTGTCTAAGTGTCAGGTTCCTGTGTTATTTTGAAGGTCCTCTTATCCTGTGTGCATTGTTTTCAGTTTAACTGCTTTTGTTTCCTCTTCCTTTATTGACTGTATACCAGCTGTATCTCAGTCCATCCATCAGAGGCCGCATTTGAAGGCCGATTACGTCATAGCGACGCAACGTAATTCGAAGGCTGCTCCAGCCGACAAATGCGTCCTTCAATTTCCCGGATTTCAAGGTTAGGTTGGGTGTATCCTTCCTGGCCCAACCTATCCCAGAATTCAAAGCACGGCCCAGCCAATTCCAGTTTCCAACAATGGTGGCAGCTACTTAGTTGTAAAATTACTCTTATTACTTTATTAATTAAATTATTATTCCTAAAATTTCCATAATAATATAAAAATACTTTTCAAATGCGGCAATGGCGAAGAAGTGCGGCTAACGAGTTTGAAATATTACTCTTTCTGGGTCACAAAATAAACTTTGAACATGTTTTCAAGCAAGAATGTAGGTGTGTAAACTGCAAATTTTTGCTCGATTTATCAAGACATCACATATTTGCAAAAGTGCTCCAACGTTTTCTGAGACGTCTGTTACTCACCAGCTCGATAGCTGACCGGGTGGCCAAGGTGAGAACACCGGACTCCCGGCACATCGTTTTCAGACCCTGCGCGGTCTTTCACTACTCAGGTTAAACGTGATATATAAGTCACTTAGATAACTTAAAAATGTTATTGTTTGGCTTTTTTCAGTGTTCTATTTGTTCCTGAGTAAATCGGTTTGGCTGAGATTAAAGTTATAGTTTTCATACAGCTGAATAAACATCAAACAGAAAACTGATTAAACAGAAAACTGATTAAACAGTGTGAGATGGTAGCGAATTTACTCCAATGTCCTGTTATATTTTAGATAGCAAGGAGCAGACGGCTCATTTTATTAAACTCCACCGAGACAGCTGGCGAGGCAAATCTGAAGGCTAGACCATCCCACTTCACAGCCTCGCTTTCCGGCCTTCTCGGTCTTCGGAGGATCTGGCACATGTAGACCGCGAAGGCCGGGTCCTCCGAAGACTGCAGCCCCTGAAGTGAGACACAGCTATTGTCTCGGTGTCCCTTTGCCCTTTGTTGTGTTGTCCCTCATTCCCGCTTGCTGAGTGTCCTCATGTTCCAAGTGTCTCCTGTAGTTTCCTAGTTAGCAAATTCCTAGTCTCTCCCTAGTTAAGTTCTTTTCTATTTTTGATCCTTGTGAGTCCAGCACAAAAAGCTGTATCTTGAGCTCAGTGGCGATTCTGATTCCTGCACATTGGCTCCTAATCTTGTCAGTAACACAGCAATATATACCTGTCAAAAAGCTGCAAAAGAATTCAGAAGCATTTCTGTCCCGTATTTACAGACAGTTTGGACTGACCGAAATTTGTCAGTCCAAACTGTCAGTGTGTGTTCTGCAACATTCACACTAAAAATTGAGTGAAAATGGTTCATCTGGAGTAAAAAAAAGTGAAAAAGTAAAAAGATTTTTTGCTTCTACCAGCAGTGTTAAAGATGTCTCACCAATGTTTTTTGGTTTTGGTTTTTTCGTTGGTTGTCACTGAGAAAGTGGGTGGAAAGGTGCCACATACATGATGCTGTCATTCTAACACGCCAAAATAATGAAGTTTCACTTAAGGCTGAATGACAATGTTTTCAAATGACTCCACAGCTGTATTTAAGAGAAGCAATAAGAAAATTGATACAGTTAATGCTTAACACAAAGACATAAAGTGAAAAGTCACTCTCCACGTCTGTGGAAAGCAGTAATGCTGATACGCCAGTATAAGCATTAGTCTTACTCACACTTTGCTTAATTTTCATAATTCTAATTTAAATAGGAGGTACAGATTAAAGGGGCTCAACTTACATCTTAGTCATCTTTTTTATTATATTTATTGTGTGTGAGAGTGTGTTGAAGAATCTGTGTATTAACCAGACAGAAGAGGGCACTGTTTCATGGGTTCGGTGCAAGCTTTTAGTAACATAGCAAGTATACTGAAAACATTCCTGCTCCATAGAATTAAAGCAACAGGTATATTTTAGATTTTTTCTTCTTTGTTTTTACTTTTTCAAGGCGTAACAACATAAATACAACAGTCACATTAACATCAGCAGGGCCACACACACGTTACCAAACAAATTACACTATTACCAAACAAAGTATTTTTATTGAAACAAACAACAACAACAAAACTAGTATGACCATAACTTCAAATCAGAGACTCTTGATATAATACAAAGAAAACGCATTATGACAAAAACTGAACTGCATTTTCTTCTTTGTCAAATTAACTGATGTGGAGGTGACAAAAGAAGACAACAAACAACAGCATGCAGAATCTCTTGTATATATACAAAACAAATATCTGTCAGTCATCATCCCATCCAAAACAGGACATTACTGATGACTGCATGGGTTTCTCTGTGATTCTTTTAGTTTTTGAACATGTCACACAGCAATTTCTCCATGGGAGTGTTTCCAATGGTTCTGTGGAAGAACAGCAGCTCTATCCGCTCAGAATTCACAAAGCGCAGAGAGGGAAGGAGAAGAAGCAGCTTTCCGAACCTAAACACAAAGATCATAATAAAATTAAGGCCATGTCAAATAATTTAAAGCAAAAGCCTTTCACATTGTAGAATCAGTTACATAGGGAAATCAGTTTTTTATATAAAACCTCAAATTAAGGATGCTTGTCATGAAACAGAATGAAGGAATGAAGGTTACTTTCAAATCCAGAAATCAACTTTTAAACATAATAAAGAACAAAAATTCTGTGTTTTGTTATAAACACACTGGAGTTTTCTTTTGTGTTTTGTCATTTTGTTCCATTGAATTGGTGACCTTTATCAGGTAGGTTGTTACCTGGCTGGTTGGCTAGGGTAGTGTGACCGTATGTGTTGTCCCAGCATGACTTGCGACTGATCCTGCAGGTTCTCCACTTGTTCTGGATCTTTCAAACCTCGAGTCTCTGTGAAGCAGAAGAAATACTTTATGGAATCTTTGCTTTCTAGGGAAAACTGTTCCTGACAAAAATTGTATAACATTCCATGTAATAAAAAAAAAAATGACTCTATAATTTTGATGTACCATACTGATGGGCATCATAATTATAAAGTGATGATATGATTACTAAATGACATGTATGGTAATATAGTGATCTTAATTAAATAAAACACACTGAGGGAAATTTTAGCCTCTGCGTGGTGCTTATCTCTTGAAAACAATGACAGTGGACATAGCTACGTACTGTGATCATGTTAAAGGTAATCTGCCAGATTGTAGACAATCAACTGAATAGTGTTTTGTTCCTCACCTGGCTTGAAGAGCACAATGGCCTTCAGGCAGGCGAACTCGGTAGGATCAACAGCGAGGGCCTTGAAGCGGCTGAAGACCTCCTGTAGGAGGCGCAGGTCCAGGCTAGTGTAGCTGGTTTTTCCCTGCATGCCAGGGCAGAGGTCTGGCAAAGACAGCAGTGGGCAGCTGTCTAGTGGCAAAGACCACTGGATGGCGCAGAGGAGGAAGAGTTCACTCCATGCTTCCTCCAACAGGATGACCTGGTGAAGAAGAAAAACCAGAAACTGAATATGCACCCCTGTACTCAGCTTCACCTTCGACCCAAAGAAATCACAAAGAAAAACTATAGATGCTCATTCCTGACATTCCCTTTTATTGCAGAGCCAATCACATTGTAATGTTGTCAAACAGGAATGGGACCACTAATTCAGTGTTCACTTACTTATTTATAGTCAGACAGTATTTGTGGTACTATTAACTGTCATATTGTCATTTCATAATGCTGAATGTGCTTTGTGGTCATTGTGGCCATGTCATGAATGTCATGAACATGAAGTTACATCAACATATGTAATCCTGTAAGCACATAATGACATCGGTATTTGGAATTTACAGATAAAAATAAGAATTTCTGTCTTTTTCTGTCATTGTCGCATATAAAGATAAATCATGATTCAATATATTTTTAGATATAAAAGAGACATCTGCATTTTATATTTTTTATATCTGTAACTTTAATTTGTCTTTTATCATTATACTTTTTTTTCTAACAAGAATAGAGGTCAATTTTAACCTATTAAAAATAGTTCCAAAGCAAAGTGAAAAAGTTTATAGAGACTATCTTATAAAACAAACAAACAAAAAAAACCCTCACTTTCAGCTTACCTGGTCTCTGAAGGGCAGGTTGGAGAAAACGGGCAGGTTCTTGGCCCATTTCACGGACATGAAGAGAAGCCTTGCTGAGGTCTCGTATACATTTTCAGAACCAGACGGGTACAAAGCCATGTGGTACTCTGAAGACGCCCGCTCTGGTTCATTGCTGGTCACATCTATGTTTTCATCAACTGAAACAGAAAAGATGAGCTCAGAATCAAGAGTGCAGAGGAAACAAAACCAACTTGTTGCATAGACAGATGAAACTAAACTTCAGGTAGTTGTGATGTGCTTCAGTTCAGGTTAGATTAGACTTTATTACTATGTAATAAAGTCATAAAATTTGAGCTCCAGCTGAAAGTCAGCAGATGCCCATATGGACAAAAAAAAGTCTCTCTAAGACTAAAGAACATGTCATCATAGTTTCACATGTTAGCATTTTGTACATGCTACTACTCACCTGATGTTTGCTAAATAGTAACTTTAAAATATTAAATTGAATTAGAAGAATATTTAAGCAGAGTTGCAAATTTGGTTAGCTAGTAAAGATTTTTGATCACTCCAGAATGGGATTGATCATCATGGTGATCTCATCATGTAAGTGGAGATGTAACCATGACAGATTTGAAATCAACCCCACCTTCTTCACTGCCCACCTGATAACACCCTCTTATGCTCTGCTTTTTGTACTGAACCCCACTCATTTGCGTTTTACCCAAGAATATGTGTTTTCTAACCATCATTTCCCCTGCAAGTCCTAATGTGAAGGAGAAAGCTTCACCTTAAGTTTACAGCAAAAACCTTTCATTTGACAACTGTTGCTCACCATCCTCAGGCTCCAACTTGGCACAGGTCTCAGCTGTCATGAGGCTTGCCATAAAGCGGTGGTTGTTCTGGGGACTGATGCAGCGCTGGGTTGCAACAGAGGAAGTGATGGACATGGAGGAGGTGATGTGGGGCCACGTGATGACAGACCCATTGGAGGATGATGAAGAAGATGAGGAAGAGGAGGAGGAGGAAGAGGAGGTGGGTTCCCGTGTGGTGGCCAGGTGCTCCTTCTCCGGGTCCACATCGATGGAGTCCAGGCGGACCTGAGCTGTGCTGCGGGGCTGCCGCTCGTTCTGAACCGCTGCAGGGGGGAGACAGAAAGGCACAACCTGTTATCTAAGGTGATAATACAGGAATGATTTTAACCGCTCACAGGTTCATGTTTGAGTTCCACTGGACACCAATCAGTTTAATGAAGCTCATGAATGCTAAAACGACTCACCGTCCTTATTCATGCCCGCCTGCAGGCACTTTTTCAGCCGACATGCCTGGCACTGGTTACGATGAGCCTTGTCCACTGGACACATGCCTGTACCGGCCTGGCACCTGTTAACCAACAGTCACGCATTTTAAAGGGAGAGTCGACTCAAAATGACAAAATAACATTCACTTATTTTCTTTTGGCTTACAGAATATTGAAAGCAGTAAGAACATATTAATTACTAAAGATCAGCTATTAGAATGTATATGGAAAATGTCCGAATTCTGAGTAAACCAGTGTGGCTAAGTCCTTAATTTTAACCTGCCATTCATCAAAAGAAAAATATCAAAAGTGAAAAGAAAAGTTTTGGGTTCTACTTTTAATCACAGATGGAATTAAAGGGGATTTTAATATATATTTATTAAAGCTATTTGTGTTTTACTTACTTTTACTTCTCTTAGTTACTTTCTGTCAATATTATTATTATTATTATTATTATTATTATTATTATAATATTTGAGTGCAAAAAGTGCATTTTTTTTCATTCACACTGACTTGTGCTGCTACAAATTTTTTTTAATCTGAAAGGCATTTACTTATACAGTAATAGGAAACACTTTAATTTACAATAATAGTTGGCAAAATATGGGGTTTGTAGAGGCTAAAACCAGAGTTTATATTCCTTTCACCTTGAATATTGACTATTTTAAATAGATGAGGAAACGTCACACGATGAAGCTGGAATAACTGTCTACAGCTGAGTTTCCTCTTGCCTGTAAATGAGTCTCCTCCTCACACTGCGCTTGAAGAAGCCGCTGCAGCCGTTGCAGGCGTAGATGCCGTAGTGTTTCCCGCTGCTGGTGTCTCCACACACTTTGCAGACCAGAGCTGGGCTCAGAGCTTTGCCCGGTGCAGGACTCTTGGCTGTGAGTCAAAAACAGTCACAGAGTAGGTCGGTTATTGCCACTCATTAGGGCTGGTATTGTTTCATACATGTGCCTGCCATCTGTACAGTCAGCTCTGTCTGCTGGTAGCAGGACAGTCTGTCTAAACACTCACAAAAATTGAATAAAATCCTTAACTACAATTTAAAAAAAGCATTGCTTGCTCATAATTATGTGTTTTTATGAGAGTTTTTAATGTTTTTGTGTTGGATTTCATTCATAACCCGATGCATGTTGAGTAAAGAATTTCAGGTGTTTCAAACTTTCATATTGTTTAAGTGCTAACTTTTCCTCCCTGTTACCGAGCCAAGTCAGTGTTACACTCTTCAGACTCCATTGGCAACTTGTTGTCGTTGGTGTGGAGCTCTTACCTCCCCTGCTGTCATCAGTCCCACCGCTGCCAGATGACTCTGTGGGGGAAGAGGATGGCATCATGGGTATCTTTGTAAGGTGATCCTCCATTATTTTTCTCTCAAAATATCTCCTCTAGTGATTGACGAAGGCAGATAAGAAAAAGTTTTGGTCCTCTTCTGCTCAGTTGCTTCAAATAAAAATACGTAGGGCCGCAGGGCCTCCGGTGGTCCCCGGTGGACAGATGGCAGGGTGAGCCCGTGCTGTGTGTTGCAACCTCTGCTGTGGTTGTTCAGATGAGCTGGGGTCCTGTCATGAGCTCCAGCTGACACTTGTTGCACGTGAACAGGTTGTGTGCGGGTGTGTGTTCCCTCCGATGTCTGTCACTGTCTGTGGGCTCTCCTCAGCAGCAGGTCCTCAAAAGGGAACCCGGGGGGTGGTGGAGGGGGTAGGATTAGCCCCAAGCGCTGTGTAAGCAGCATGCTTATTTGTCATCCTCTTAATCTTTACTGTTCATCTACTGATCAATCAGTCACATTGCCAGCACAATGGTGCTGCTCAGACATGGATCGTCATGAAGTCTGCAAACAAACAAACAAACAAGCAAACAAACAAAAAAGAATCAGCAATGACAACAAAATCTCCAGCTCTGTGCTAGAAGTCTTGTAACTGTAGACCAGTCCCCATCCAGGCACTCCTCCTTGTGTCTCCTCTGTCTACATCAGTCAACACTCCTCTTCAGTATCTGCATTTAAACAGACAATTACATGAGGCACACATTATTATATTTACCAGCATCTTCAATTTGTATTTCCCCTCCTTTTCTTTTCTTTTCTTTTCTTTTTTTTTTTTTTTTGCCTCCTGAATTCCAGACCCATTTCCCCTTGCTGTATATTTGATCTGTGTGATTGCCTCCTATTCATAAAGACTCCCAGTGTTTGCAGAGGAGCTGCCTATTAACTCCCATTTCTACCCCTTTTTTTGTCAAACTGGAGATCATCCACTTCCTCAGGTTGCCAGGAGAGAAAGGTCACAGAGAGAATGATGGAGTTTTGGGGGGGCTGATGTGATGGTCAGCACTAATTTGGCTCATTCATGAGGTTTTCCCATTTATTATTGAGAAGCTAGAATTATCATACATGTGGCATTTACATAAGCGGCAGTTTATTAGCCGGAGCAGGTATGAGATTGGATCTGGTGAGGAGGTGAGGAGAAGCGTGCAAAACTGAGGTAGGAAATATGAAACAAGCAACTTTCTTGTCATATTTAAATAAGACTGGGTTCTTGTTTTACCAAAATACCAGTAAGTTTATGGCTAAGAGAAAAGCTTTCTACATTATTTTATGATTAAGGTGCGAAAGGACTCAAAACCAAGAAAAGCAAACTATAAAATATTCTTTGCTAACATGATTTTTACATCAAACTAGAGATAAGAGATGGAAGGTTGCTGGAAAGTTTCAAATGTAAAATTCAGAACAGGTGTCAAACAATACTTCTATCTGTTAGTGCCATCATCATCGTCATCCCTTGACGCTTCAATGCCCTCGTGCCTTCCCGCTCATTTTCATCATTTGTCTCTTTGAACAGTTGAGCGGTTCAAGTGAAAGATGCAAATCTGGAGGGGACACAAGCTGCTGGGTCTCTGACATCTGCGCAGTGGCATCTGTACTCATTCACTGTTTGTTTGCTTTTTGTTCTGCGCTTGTAACGTGTGTGAATAACTGCGCTAACGACTGCTCTTAGATTGGACGTATGAACGCTTTAATTAATTTTGTTTTACACCATCTGACATAATCGCTTTAGAAAACAGCATCCTGCATATGCCAGCAAAATTCACAGTGTTCATTCGTGGTCTGTTTTGGCAGAATGATAAATCTAAGTCCAATGTTTGTTTGCATTTCAGCTCTGGTGTCTTAAGCTCCAATATATTACACACTCTTAACTAGCTAATAGCCAACTGTCTGCTTTTTATTACAGAGAAAATCACGTATGGTGTGTTTTTAGAGCTCTCTGACAAAAGGCTTCTTACTGGGACTGAGCTGAATAGAAAATAACTGCTAAAATAGACACACAGAAACACTCTGGAGATCTATGGATTCGCTTTCTGAGGACTTAAACAGGGTCATGGATGACACTAAGGATCCTTTTCTTGAGTTTGTTTCTGTAAGTTTGTGAAATTTAACAACCTAACAATGCATTTAAATTTTTCAATAAACAAGTTAACACATATTTCAGATGAATTAATAAATATGCATTCAGTGGGGTGTGTTGAAGAATTTTACACATGACCTCTGTATTTCTGAAAACTTGCCATTAGCTATATTTTATTTAACTAAAAACAAGCTATGAAAACAATTTTTAAATAAATGTTATCACAAAGCACACTGTAAAATGTAATATTGTGTTTAATTCAAAATATTAAATAGGCTGAACTCATTTTTTATCAATTTGTTATTAGAACTCGATTTAAATAAGTTACCAGTACTTTATATGCAAAATGCTGATAAACTCAATTTATTTGAGTTGTCTTAACTTAGAAAAACTAAGTAAGCTGGAAGTTTTGCTTCTCAGGGCGGAAGGATGAAAGATGTGTTTTGAAAATGCCACGTGACTACCGTCCTCCTCCCTCTCGGATCAGTCCGCATGATCATGGCGCCAGCATTTGTTATGGAATATGTTGAGCAAACTAGTGATGTGCGGATCGATCCTACATGTGGCAAAAAAAGTGAGGTGTTGTGGCCATAATTGCCAACCTTGAGACCTCAGAATTAGGGAGACATTCAAAAGGGCTGTTTGGGGGGGGATAAATACATTTTACAGTATTTATTTATCGGATAAAATACGCGAAATGTCACCGTTATTATTGGCTGGCCTGGAACCAGCCTCTGAATTTGGACACCCCCGTGTCCAAATTCAGAGGCTGGTTCCACCTGAGGACCCGGCCCGACCGCGGTCTAAAGAAAGCCGGGTAGTACATCAAGAGCTCCCTCGGTGGAGTGAGACTCTGCCGTCTGCTCCTTGCTATCTAAAATATAACCGGGCGCTGGCGTAAACTCTCGACCGTCTCACACTTTGTTTAATTAGTTTTCTGTTTGACGTTTATTCAGCTGTGTGAAAACCCCGGAGGAACCCTCCCGAGGGATTAATAAAGTTACATTTAATTTAATCTAATCTAATAACTTTAACCTGTTAGCAGTCGGACGTACCGCCCACGGTACATTGGATGGTTTAGGGGACTAATTGGACTGCTAAGGGGTTAATCTCAGAAACAACAATTTACTCAAGAACAAATAAAACACTGAAAAAGCCTAACAATAACATTTTTAAGTTAGCAAAGTGACTTATATATCATGTTTAACGCGAGCAGTGAAAGACCGCGGGGGTTTGAAAACGATGTGTCGGTCGGCTCAGATGTTTGAAGTTTACACAGCTACATTCTCACCTGAAAATATGTTAAAAGTTCTTTTGCGACCCAGAAAGACAAATAAGAGTAATATTAAAACTAAGTAGCTGCCGTCATTGTTGGAAACTGGAATTGGCTGGGCCGCGCTATGAATTCTGCGATATGGTTTTTCAATTTTGTTGTCCGGGTGGAAAATTGGGAGAAATCCTGCCATGTGATTACATTTGTTCCTGACCACCGAGAACACTCACATTAACTTTTATCGAGTGGAAAAAAGTTAGCTTGTTTATATTATGCTAACATAGCTGTGTCGCTAGCGGTCACGTAGCACATCATTATATACCAGCTAGCCCAACTTCAGTAACCCTACAAACGTCACTGCTGTTTAGTTTTCTGTCTTCATTTATGCTGGAAGTGATAACAGAGCTGTACGTTTTAATTTGTTTCCAAAACCCCGCAGTCAGGACATGCTATATTGTATTTAGATAGAAGCTAGCGAGCTAACTCCCTGCTAACTTCTAACTCCGTTAAATGTCATAAATTCCGTTTTCATGGATGCCTGGATGTTAAACTCAATTGTTACACCTGGTAGAGCAGAACGCTGATCATTTTATTAAAGATGAAAGACTTTAGACAGTTTTTCAACTCTCAGTAATGCCATAGTGATCGTTTGATATATGGACCTGCAGCGGAGTTTAGACCCAGACACGGCTAGTGACGTCAGACTGAACAATCGGATACTTGTGGAGCCGCAAGTTTGCCTCTCTTTCGTCCACTTTTGTCTTTACGCAACGTTACTCGGCCTCGCCCCTCCTCCCCCATCGCTTCACCTGCAGGAAGCGACAAGATGGACACGGCAAATCTCCGTTAACGAGTTACTGCACATCGCCGTGCGTGGGGCTGGACGCCGTCAACGTGTTAGCTAGCTAACCACGCTAACGAGCTAACCACGCTAACGCCATGCAGCCCAGAGGCGCTGCACAGCCTAAAATCCTTGCATTTTCTCAAAAGTTGACAGCGCGCCTTATGTATGAATTCTGTTTGTGCTTGATGGCCGCGAACCGATTTTATGTGGTACACAGCGCTCAGCAATCTGTCAAAAATGTTTTAGTACGACTTTGGTAAGCTACGGTGCTGCACCGCTTGATGGATTGTCAGAGCATTACGGCTACCGAGGAGCCTTCGCGGAGTGATACGTACTGTGCTTCAACGTAATATTACCCTACTGTGTATAAGGACTATAAATGGCACCTGTTAAGAGACGTGGTTACGAAGAGGATTTCAAACTCAATGCTGTCAGTCACACAGTAGAAGTTGGGAACAGAGCAGCTGTGAAATCTGTCTTTGTTACATGCTCAGCGTCTTTTAGTTTACATTTTGACTGCACAATTGTGAGCTTTTTGTTATGCACAAAAACAACATTGTTTTCTTTTATTTATGGAGCATTATTATTTAATAAATGCTCATAATTTATTTTTGAGTAAATCTTATGTACATCTATGCTCTATGTTAATAAAAGTGCCTGTGTGACATCTGGGACACAGCTTTGACTAAGAACTCTCTTTTTGTTCTTACTTTATGGCTTTTAAAAAAAATATCGAGATATATATCTTATATCGCCGATCCAGGTAAAAAATATCGAGATATGAATTTTGGGTCATATCGCCCAGCCCTATGATGAACTCTGCATTATTAAGTGATAAGAACAAGTAATCTGATGTCCTGTAATCATTATGACGCTATAATTTGAGATACAATAAATAAAATAAGTTTTTGTACAAAGTATCGGTATCGGATCAGTATCGTCGATACCACCCTGAATATTACTTGGTATCGGATCGGAAAGGAAATCAGTGGTATCGCACATCACTAGAGCAAACCTGGAAAAGCGTCAGCTCAAGAGATTATTGTCATTGCTGTGGATCTTTACCTGATACACTGACTTGGTGAGTAAATGTTTACTCTTATTCAAACTGATTTTGTGGCTTCTCTTAGTTTAGCACCAGGTTTACAATCTTGCTAGCTAGTTAGTGTTAGCCTAGCGTTGCTGCTGCCGCTGGGCTCATGTTACTTAAAAATTAACACCAGAGCCTTAAAAACCTTACATAAAACTATGTCGGTGAAATTTTCTGTTGATTGTTTGAAATAAAAAAGTGAGTTAAGAGCCCAGACAAAATTCTTCGGGAGGTGCAGCCTTTAGGGGTGGGGTGTGGGGGGTATTTTCAATCCATAGCCCTAACTAACTAACTAACTAATTATATATATCATGTTTAACCTGAGTAGCAAAAGACCGCAGGGGGTTTGAAAACAATAAGCCAGGAGTTAGTTGTGCTCGCAGACTGTTATCAAGCCTTGACCTCCCGGTCAGCTATCGCGCTGGTGGATAACAGAGCTCTCCGAAAACGTGGAAGTACTTTTGCAAATATGTGATATTTTGATAAATTAAGTAGATATTTGAGCATTACACAGCTACATTCTCGGCTAAAAATATCTTAAAAGGTTATATTGTGACCCAGAAAGGGTAGTCTGGGGAAAAGGAGGATCGCATTTGTTGGAGCCTGTGCATACTTGTAAGCGTGGCAATGGTGGAGGAGCGTGGCTAAAAAACGTATTACTTTTTCTGGGTCACAAAATAAACTTTTAAGATATTTTCAGGCTCGAATGTAGCTGTGTAAAGTTCAAATATCTTCTCGAGTTATCAAGACATCACATATTTGCAAAAATGCGCCGAAGTTTTCAGAGACGTCCATTTTTTTTCATGCTTTGTGGCAGCTTTTGAACATCTGTGACATCTATTAATGTCAAATCTAGCCTTTATTTAACAACATAAGCAAACTCTATGTAACAATGATTGCACAGCCATTAAGGATCAAATCAGTTTCTGAAAAATGTTCTGTTTTTTTCTCCCTCTGCTTGCTTCTTACTGTCTTTGAGGCTCGGGACCAGCACTCCTGTTGTTGGACAGAAAGACATCAACTCAGTGGTAAGTATTTTGGTTTTCCAATATATTAGCAACTGTCAGTGACATTTATATTAATCAGGCTGAACTTT